TTCTTCATTACCAGTACACACATAGTGCCTTGTGTCGAATGGCCTCGGCATCGTTATGCCAAATGGCAAGTGAAAGATAGTAAGCTTACCATTTAGTGATGCTGAATGAGCTATAAATGACCCCAATTCCATGCTTTGCCCGTGAACAATTGCTGATCCATTCAAATGTGACTAGCAGATACCAGCTCGTCTGTGTTCACGTGCCACGTTAAGGCCATCTTGCGTATCCAAACTTCTTGATCAGCTGATGACTGCGTTCTGTGACCTGTGATGTATTTGACAAATGGTGTGCAAAATCCAGGAGTGTAGCATTGCAAAAACATTTATATGCTTCGGGCGAGCTGAACATGTGTAAATGGATCAACTTGTTACGTTGTTGCCGGCTGGAGCTCGAACCCACTAACTCGGTAGGAAGCTAGATCCTTTGCATAATCTGCCTCTAAGGTGGGATTATTTCAGGATGATTCCCTCTGTTGTGTTGAGGTTGCAACCGCTCCGCATGTTTAGCTACGTAATTGCGCCCAACTGTAGGTTTGACAGCCATTAGACCATGGTAATCTACACTTGAAGCTACACCGTGTCATAAATGATGTTGATGAAATTCGCATGCACTGTGCAGTTTGAAGACTTTTTAATAGGATGCAGTTTCCGCATGTTATCATTTGTGTGAAAATAAATAACTTATTTCCCATTGACATTTATTACCAGCAATTACCAGTCATTTATACATAACTTGTCGTAAAGACAGCACAAGTAGGATAATTGTATCTGCAGAATACCCGCCAATACCCGTAATCTTGTCAGCGATGCTCGCCAAAGGCACTGCGGGCCGCGCCTCACGGGCACGTCTGGCTCAGGAGCAGCAGCGCCAGTGCGCAGCCCCACCGAGGAGCCGGGCAATGCAAGCAATCCGCGGGGACGCGCTCCACTGAACAGAGCAGGATATGGCCCCTGTATTCTGGAATGATTTACTGGCCTAATCCAAATCCGCACAGCTAAATGTGTGAAGAAGCAAATCAGACTTGCAGCTGGAACGCGTGTCCCGTCAATATCCACCACATACACATGCTAGTTGACGTTCTTACAGCTGTCAGACAGTCAATGGTTTGAAACAGTCAGACTCAGCCTGACCGCTGACTGTGACGTGCCGGCGCACTCAGTCAGACTCAGCCTGACCGCTGACTGTGACGTGCCGGCGCACTCAGTCAGACTCAGCCTGGCCGCTGACTGTGACGTGCCGGCGCACTCAGTCAGACTCAGCCTGACCGCTGACTGTGACGTGCCGGCGCACTCAGTCAGACTCAGCCTGGCCGCTGACTGTGACGTGCCGGCGCACTCGGAGCGCTGAACACTGCTCTATACGCGCACAAAACAGGTTCCCAGAGACCTACCCCGCCAAGGGAGCGCCGCCGACAGTAAATGACGTCATATGTCGGTGACCTCATCCCCAGGCGGCCGAGAGCGGCGCCGTCGGAACCCGAAGCTCTGGGTCGCGCTGCCTTGAATCGGGCTGACCAGCGCCATGCGGCGTGCGAAACGACAGCAAACCGAATCCCGGAGCCGTTAATTACTGTCAAACTGTGGCCCAGCCTCAGCCGCCGCCGCGCTACCCGTCTGAGACACACTCACTGAGAAGGGTGAGGGACGGGGGGCGGGAGGTGGCAGCGCGCCGCACTGGCTGCACGGCGAGAGCCCGCGGGGTCATCTCCCGCTCTCACAGAGACGCAACCGGGCCTAGTTGCTTCAGCGCGCACGAGCTCGGCGGTCGGACTCACAAGTCCGGGCTTCCACGCACGGCGACAGCAGCAGCTCCTGCTGACGTTGAGGTCGAGCGGTGCTTGCGCGATGCGGTGCACCGGAGCCGCCGGAGCCACTGTAGGCGCTCGCCCTCCCGCCACGAGCGACCCCAGCGAGGTCACCCCGGCCCCGCCAGTACCGCCGTAGACGCTCGCCCTCCCGCCACGAGCGACCCCAGCGAGGTCACCCCGGCCCCGCCAGTACCGCCGTAGACGCCGGCCTTTCCCCTACGACCGACCCCGTCGAGGTCAGCCCGGCCCCGCCAGTACCGCCGTAGACGCCGGCCTTCCCACTACGACCGACCCCGTCGAGGTCAGCCCGACCCCGCCGGAGCCGCCGCAGACGCCGGCCCTCCCGCCATGACCGACCCCGTCGAGGTCAGCCCGGCCCCGCCAGTACCGCCGTAGACGCCGGCCTTCCCACTACGACCGACCCCGTCGGGGTCAGCCCGACCCCGCCGGAGCCGCCGCAGACGCCGGCCCTCCCGCCATGACCAACCCCGTCGAGGTCAGCCCGACCCCGCCGGAGCCGCCGCAGACGCCGGCCCTCCCGCCATGACTGACCCCGTCGAGGTCAGCCCGGCCCCGCCGGAGCCGCCGCAGACGCCGGCCCTCCCGCCATAACCGACCCAGGCGAGGTTAGCTCGGTGCTATCGACGGAACTCGAGCCCGCTGTTTTCAGCCGCGGGGCAGGGCCGCGGGGCCGGTCCGTTAACAACGTAAAAGGCGCTTACGATTTGTTATCTCGCCCAGGCATCGAGCACGTATAGCATATGGAAACCTCTTCAAATAATCGAAATAATGTCACCATGACCATAGATAAAAACACGCATAGCACCCATCGCCGATTTGTTAACAAAAATGTCAAGTGTGTGAGGATGTCACCTGAACATTTCGAGCATGATATGCGAAAGAACAAACCAAGAAGAAGGAATAGCGGGATACAACTAGCCAAATGAGCAATATTTTGTTCGACTCCACAGACTGAGTGCGTACATGTGTGTACCCATATATTGCCGAGGGGTAACCCATTGCTGAGGAGGCTTTTTATTTCGAGTAACATAAAAAGAAATAAAACATGTAGTCCATATACAGAATACGCACGCGTTTAGTTTTGCAGTTCACGTACATAGAGCTCTCATGCGCATACGGACAGAAAATATTTTCCACACATTTTCGGCAGCGGCCTGCTCTGGCAGCAGATCTAGCATACGGCACTCAAAGGCGCGCCAGAATGCTCGCGATGTCAGCCACGTGGGTTCGAGCGGAAGCTTGTTATTTAAGCACAGCGCTCTGGCGGAGAAGCACCGCTTCCTTGCCGCGGTCCTCGAGCAGGGCACGTAAAGCAGGTGGTCCTACTTCGTGCTTCGCGCCCGAACGGAGCTAATCGCTCAGAAGATGGGCGCGAGCGAGTCTGGCTCACCGTCCACCATAGCTTTGTGCACTAAGCTCAGTGTGCAGAAATCCGCTAGCTGCTGCGCGGTCAGACGGCGCAGCCTCTCTCGCAGGTCAGACGCATGGTTGAACTTACGACGCTCAAAAGTGGCCCGAACGCCGAAGTTCAAAGCTTTTTTGGGTTTTGTCCATGTTTTTTAGTCGCCGCTACCATAAACCGAAACGCAGTATCTGACGTGCGTGAGGACGGAAGCCGTGACCAGAGTGGTGATGATGCCACCTAGTATGAGGAGGCGGGCGGGGAGAGGCCAGACAAGCTGCTTGCGCAGCGCCGACTGGCGTGCGACATCCGATGGCTCCGCGGCATGGTTGGTCAAAAGTTATACCCCTTTGTCTACCTCACCGCAAGGTGCAGGGTCCTTCCACAGAATGCAACTTGGAATTCGGTGGACTGCGCAGATTTCGGTGGTTTCCGAAAATGATGAGCTGTGCTTTTGTCGCGTCGACCTTGAGGAAGCTCGTGTGGAACCATGTGTGTAGAGGGCAGAGAATATCCTCCGTACAGGAAATGAGCGCTGGGAGATCGATTTGTCTTCCTGCGAAAAGCACCAAGTATCATCGGCGTAATCCACAATGTCACCCGTGGAGAAATCATCGTCATGCCGCCCGCAAAATCGCTGAAGAACAAGGGCCCGATGGTCGACCCCTTGGAACACGCTCATGGTGTTATCCAGTGGCTATAAGGTCGCTGCGTCTGGCAGTGCGACGCCCCACGTATGTTCCCGAAGGTAGCTTTCGAACCGGGCGGTGTCGACGGCGTGCAGTCTGTGAGTTTTTACAGGAGGTTTTCACAAGAGGTGTCAATGACACCAAAGCATTTGGTCAAATGGAGCAGGTACAGTGATGATATCTCCCCGCTATCGGCGGCGTTGAGGACGCGATCGATGACGGATGTCAAAGCGGTTTTCGTGGAGTGATGGGGTCGGAAGACGTGAAGACGAATGGGAGAGGAGGTGGTTATGGGGGAGGCAGTCGTAGAGCTGCTTCCGCACCATCTATTCACCATTCATGCCGTGCCTGGGATGATGGAGGTACGCCGGAAGTTCGATGGCCTCGTGGAGACATCGGATTTATGGGTGGGGTGGATAATGGGGTGTTTTCATGATTAAGGAACCTTGCAGAGGATAAGGCGGGTGTTGATAATGTGGGGATGACAGACAGCAGGGAAAGGTTGTGAGTGCCGCCTCTTATTTTGGCAAGGGTGGGGTATGTAACTTTATGCTTCGAATGTGCGTAAGATTAAGTCATGACTAGTGGTGGTGGACCCGGTACTGTCCGGCCAAACACTGCCCAAAAGAAAACAGTCTAGTTGCCGCCGATCAAAGATCCAGTGCATAGTATAAGTATCATGCTTCCCTCCACACTGTTACAAGAGTGCGGCTCCCGGCCCACGCTGCCGGCACTCGATCCCTGTCGCCCCCGTTTCCGCCACTCTCCCCGCTGATCTGGCCGTTATCCAACGTCCCACTAAGCACCTTCCCAGCCCCCCCCCCCCCCCTCTACCTCGAGCGTCTCTCCCCTCCCCGCCACTACGTCACCCCCACGTCACTACGCTCCCCCTCCCCACGCCGCCACTGCGGGCCGCTACACTGAGGCCCCGCGCGCCGGTGCGGCGGGCCGTAGCGTCGTGCCGGCGCGGCGCCGGGTCGGGCAGATGGCGGCCGGATGCCGGCCCGCCGCTGCCGGGAGGGGCTTCAGCGGACAGCGGCCGGCCGGCCGGCAGTACGCGCGCCCGCGCCGGTGCGCCGACACAGCGGCTGTGCGCCCACTCGGCGATCGATCGCACCGGACCAGTGCGCCGGCAAGGAGGAGCCGCGACGACTGCGCCCGCCGCGCGGCGCGCACAGGCTCGTCTCGCGATCAATCTGACCCAGTCGGCGCGCAGGTGGACAGCGCGTCGCGGCGTGCGGCCTTGTTGCCGCGGGGGCTGCAGTGCTGAGAGGTAGCTCTTGGACGGAGGCGAAGAGACGCGAAAACTGGTGGACGGACGGCGAAGTCGGCTCGACGCTGGCGACGAGACAGCAAACCGACCCGGCGTGAAGGCCAGAGGACAGTAGGTCACTCACGGCAGTTTTGACGTCAGGTAGTGCGTAGCTCGGACGGCGAGCCACGCAAGGACAGGATCAGTGGCGGGGCCTCCAGACAGGACAGCAGCCATCCGCCGCCCGCGTCTAAGCCGTCGAGTTCGCCGCGTCGGACCGCCGTCGGATCGCGGCCGCGGCCAGCATGGACCCGGCCGGCGTGCCGCTCTCGTCGGTCGACTACATCGACAGCGACGCAGCCGACCCCGAACCCGACGCTGACCCGGAGCCGACGGCGCCGGCGCTCGCCTGCCGGCCCGACCCGCAGCTGGAGCGGCACCCCGAGGAGGAGCTGGAGGTGGTGGGGCCGGCGGCGCCGCTGTGTGCCGGTCGGCGCGGCGACTCGCCGCTGCTGGAGAGGGCCAGTCTGGTTCGTCTGAGGGTCGGCGGCGCCCCAGAGGTCAACAGCAAGTGAGTGCACCCATGGAGCGCAGGGCGAAGTAGTCCACCACTGGGGATGAGCGGTTTGTCCGCGCGCGGCCGGGGGTTGAGGCACACCACGCGTGTGGTGCCGTTTGGGTGGTAATCAGTCAAGCAAGTAATCACTCGGGAGCTGCTGCTGTATTTTCCAGCTGATGTAGCACCGGATCGGGCCTCCACATCTCTTTAGCGGCGATAGAACTGCGTCGCCGCCCATTTTTCTGACAAATGCTGAGATGGTTCAAGCACGTCTCAGTCTGCGATGCTGTTTGACGAAACGGTTCGGGCTTAGCACAGTTGGACTGGACTGTTGACGGCGATAGGCGGGAGCTGGTGACGCGCGGCGTCCCTGTGGGCGTGGTGGATGGGTCCGGTCGGCGGCGTGGCCTCGCTTGATGCGACTTCCGGAATGCCAAATAATCGGCGCGACAGGTTTCCAGGCCCGTACAGCATAAAACATGACGAACAACAGCGGCGGTGAGGCCTTTTGTGCGTAAATAACAGCATGGGTGACGTGGTGTGACATGGGTGACACGAGCACATGAATATCGCTCTTTCAGGCGTGACAAGTGTGACGACATTTTACGGCGCACACAGTGATTGGGATGCCGCCGCGCATGGCTACTGTCAATGAGTGTAATTCACTTGTGATATAGCAGACAGGTTTCAAACCACATTTTCGGCGCAGTTTAGTTTGAAAAATCATTCTCAGCGATTTGATTGCATGGACTTTGGGAGCAGAACCCGAGCAAAACAGCGTTTGTTGTGCGTGTCCTGGTCGGATCATC